ACCGTGATCATTACAGGTATAATGTATTGTGTGTATACTATTGTACATTATTCATGGGACCTTAGCAACAGGGAACAAAGTAACAAACATGAATAACGAGACTTCATCACCAGAAGAGAGATCGCTTGTACATACAAGTATTTCTGTTCCTATTAAATGAAAAATCATCTTTGCAATTTAGGCAATGCTATAAGAGATGTAACAATAAACGTTGAAGGAAACAAACTTTGTGTTTACTATGAGTTAACCAAGGGCTGTGTTGATAGTAAGACTTTTGCAACGAGACACCTACGGTGCATGGCCTCGCCCCTATAGCTGCTATGGTGCATGCCCGCACTTCAATAACTGTTTGATTATCAGCATGAAGAGAGTCTGCTCAACACTAGCTTCCTGCAGTTGCACTTGCTCTTGAATACTTGCAGAAGTAGCAGCACTGTAGCACATACATGCAAGCAGCTCCAGCCCCTCCCATGCATGTAGATTGAAAGGTGTGGCATTCCATGACTGGAATGAGTGTCAGCAAGAAGACCATGTGAGAAAGAAGCTTCACTTTTTCTTTACTAATCAGCAATATATGATAAACTTGCTGACAAAAAAAGTTGCTGCCTTTGTATATTTGAGATAGTATAGGTACTTTAGTACCTATAACCCAGCAAGCTGTTGCTCTAGCGCTGCACAAACGAGTGACCTCAACAATTTCAAGTAAGTATAACTCTTCATCAAGTAAGATTTAGAGAAATCTGTTCATAATTTTTGAAGGCCATGTTCTATTCTACTGAAAAATGCTACCAGCTATCTCTAAAGTGCCAACACAACGGAACTTGGCCCAACTACTCGATTTTCTTACTTTGAAGCTTCTGTACCTAGCACTTGTATTTGAGCAACACAAAACAGTTAAGAAAGACTTTTCCACGTCAAAAAGAAAGATCTAGGAGCTTAGAACACGCTGTGCTAAAGTTATTGTTTATTAAAAACAAATTTCAGTTGTACAGAATGAATGAATGAATGAATGAATGAATGACACACACAACAACTACCTATACCTCGCGTAGGCGAGGCCAACTAGTGTTTGTACTGTTTAATTTCATTTGTAGTTGACAAGGCATGTGGAGCAAAAGTTAATGGATTTAGTATTGGTTGTGCTGATGATGAGGAGCTGTTTCATGCATGTTGCTATAAGAAATGTTCACTTGTTGCTAATAAACATTTCCCATTACGCACAGAAAGATGGACGTGTGCAAGGAATGGATGCACTTCAAGTCAGGAATATGATGCTGGTCTCTGCTATCCTAAATGCAAAGAGTACTACATCGGAGTTGCCACTGTTTGTTGGGGATATTGCAGCCATTTTTGTGGAAAAGATTACACTGACATGGGCCTATACTGCTACCGGTGGTGGCCACCACATAGCTGTTACAAGCCAAGGTATGATAGAGGTGTTGGGAGCCTCCCTTACCAACCCTGGATCTATGGGGGTGATTGCTGGGGATTTGGTGTGAATAATGAAGGAAAATGCGCACTTCTCGATGTCTCTAGTAAAGTGCCCATTGATCTTGGATGCAAGAAGCAATGAACTGGCTTAATATAATAACAAGTGCATGAAGAAGCAATTTAGGACTTTTTGTTAGGACTACTTTTGTTAGGACATTTTTTGATTATTTTTGGTGCTTCTGTGTTCATGCAACTTTTGTAAATAATTATTTTGCTTTGATTATTGTTGCTATAACCAGCAGTGACATGATTAACATACCAAAAGATGGGGGGCTAGAGACATTCATGTGTGCTAGTCAACCATTACAAGAAGATACAGTTTTGATCCTGTCTACTAATGTAACTCATATCATAAAGCAAGGATCACTCTATGACCTACTCACTGACACTCACTAGTGATTCATCACTACCAGCTATCATTTACTGTAATGACTCCAACACACAACCTAACAGTGTACTCTCTTCTATTAATACTCAAAACTTCTCTCTCTGAAGGCTCAGTAGTGTTAAGAAATTGAGGTGGATATCTGAGAGGACTGGATGCAATTAACTCTATTATCACTTTTCCATTTTATTTCACTCAGTATCATTTAGCAGCTTTAGTTTTCCTGCACATTGGTTCATTGCTTATCAAAGAGGTCAGGATTGTTTCTTATTATGGTTTTGCTGTGTTGGCTATTAATCCTACAAATGCACTTATGGACAGCACGAACATAACAATGGGAAGTACAATATACATTCAAAATCATGGTCATATCAAATGATCATTGCAGGTAAAGCTATATTGTGCCACCACAAGGCACAGCACTTGTCTCTGATAATTATAAAAATATGCTTTCTATTTCTGTTGAATTAAGCATCAGTCTTCATCTTCTTAAAGGTAATCTGGATAACATTAATTAAAGTTGAAGTAAATGGAACTGGAGTTTGTGGCTGTGTTGATAGCAGACTCTAATTAAGACTCTTGCACGTGTACTGCATATTGTAAATTAACTCGAATTTTTCTAGTTTACAAAGCATGTGAATAAAGGTTAGTCCAGTAACTATTGGTTGTGCTGATGATTGATAAGGAGAGCTATCTTGGAGTATGCTATAAAAAATGTTCACTTCCTGCTAGTGCAGATTTCCCATTACACACAGCAACAAACACATGGCATTGCGATGTCATCATCTAAAGATGAGGATATGATGTTGGTCTGTGCTAACAAAAATGAGATCAGAGTTGCCACATTTTGCTGGGGCTATTGTAGCTAATTTTGTCAATCAAAGTAAACAGACATGGGCCTACATTGCTATGTATGGTGGTCATCGAAGAGCTGTTATAAGCCAAGGTAAGATAGAGGTGATGGTACCCTACCGTATAAACTCTATATGCATGGATTGGGATGCTATGGGTTTGGTGTGAATAATCAAGCAAGATGTGACATCTCTGGTAAAGTTCTCATCTTGAATGCAATAAGCAACAATTTTTTTTGGTCTAATATAATTAGTGCTTGAAGAAGCATTATAGGAATTTTTGTTGGGACTATTTTAGATGCTTCTTATTGTCATACATGTAATAAACTTTAATGAAGGAAATAATATATGAAACATTACATTTCTATTTATGCCACATAATCTATGCTTTGCAAGTTGATGATCAATTCAATGAATGAGGAAGAATGCAACAAAGAAAAGTACAATGTGGGCATTGTGTTAGGTTAGCAGTCTATTGTTATGTACTAGAAGTTGTAATAGTATGCAGCATGCACCCAGGGCAAACATGTGCCAGGAGAGCCACAGCGTCTAATATCAATATTTTGAGTAGCTTACTATTATGTACTATTAGGCATACATAGTTGTAAATAATACCAGGCACACGTGTCAAACATTAAGGTATTTCTCACACGTGCTTTTAACAAGAGCTGTATAATACATGCCTCATGTTCTGTATGTTGATGTACTGTATATGGTTTGTATGTTCATGTACTGTATATGGCTTGTATGTGTCATTTATATGGATTGGGAATTTGGCTCTGATAATATTTAGCGTATTTAATTAATAATGTTAATAATTTAAAAGCATTGATCAGTTTACAATTTAAAATGTAGAGTTCAGACAGATGTGTAGGTACATGTACTTACATAGGCACAAAGTCTTACAATGGTGACCATTACAGGTATAATGTATTGTGTGTATACTATTGTACATTATTCATGTGACCTTAGGAACAGAAACAAAGTAACAACAAGCATTAAGCAATGGAATTCTCTACCACCATTTGTAAAAATGTCTTGGTCTCTGTCATGTATTAAATCTTTTATTGATTCTTTTTCTTCCTAATATCTCAATCAATTACTCATTTATTATTATTACAATTACAGTGTAACCTGCTATTGCGGACACTCTAAAATGAGGACACCTCTATAATCAGGACAGGTAGTATCAGTCCCAATACAATAGTAATGTGCATTAATGAACCTCTGAAATAAGGACACCTCTATAATAAGAACAGCATTATTGGGTCCCAAGGTGTCCAGAATAGACAGGTTTGACTGTATTATTAGCCTGAGTCTTTATTACAAGAAGAGAGATCGCTTGTACAAAAAAAGTATTTTTGTCTCTGTTGCCATCCTTACAATTTAAAGGTGGTCTAAAGTGTGTAGAAACTAAAGTTGAAGGAAACAATATTTGTGTTTACTATCAGTTTTCAAGATAATTATTATTCATTATTTCAATAAGGATATGAATCATCATTGGATCACGTATCACGTTGACTAGTGCCACACCCAATTGGCTGCAATGGGAAATAATGCTATGTTTTTGGCTGCTACAGCTTTGCAGGCAACAAAACGTGACTGATATTATTCTCTTCCTTATTGAAGAAGAAAAGGAAATGCAAACAATGGGCAGAAATAGTTACGAGAGCAAAATGGAAGCCAAAGAAGCAGGAAAGATTTTATCAATGAACAATTCACTGCAGGCTGCTTGCAATAATGTTTCTCATGGTTTCACTGCTTTCTAGACAAATTACAAAATAATACTGATCATTTTGACTACTTTCCAATGCTGGTTTCCTGCTGTAACATAGCAAAGAAGAATAAGCAGAAAATATAATAGTAAAGTAATGCCTGGTAAAACAAGATAAGCAATGATAATTCAAGCTGTAAATGTACTCTTAACTGCAGTTTCAACTATAAAAAGTGATGCAAAAAAACATGAGAAAAGCCTTTATCACTCGAAACCTCATCAATCAATATAGTCTGTTTGTATCTATGCCAAGTTATTTATACCTAGCAAGCACATGACGTATCACGCATGAACTTAACTATTAAAGGCATCAAACTTGATGGAGCTGCTCCCACTGACTATCATATTATTTTGTGATGTTTGAGTGGGACAATGTCAAAAAGCCACGATTTAATGATTATATTGTTGAAAAAATTAATGCACTTTAAAAATAAACTTTGTTTGAATAAAAACGGTACAAAACACACCATGACAACAAAATACATTTCAGTCACTTGTCTCAGTAATTGAAGCCACCATGGAAGTCTCTATGAAAGTCACAGGTCCTTTCCTGTCTCCGTTTTCTGCATTTAAAACCTGAAAAACATTTCTTATTCAAATAAAGCTACAATGTATTATCAATACCCTTTTTCCTTCTAGCTGTGACTGTAGCTCCAGGACTTTATTCTGCAACTGATCGATCCTCTCTTTATCACTGACTACTGTCAATGCTCCACTTCTTCCAAACTCAATTGAAGACATTGTCTGTGAGGTCTCACAACTCTCTCCCTTGGGATCTTTATATAAACGATACATCTATCATAAATATAAATGATACATAATGAATGATAAAAATTTATGTCCTGTTACTTGCAATAACAACATTAATTGCATCCTTAAAAGCCATTAGTGTGCTTATCAATGATACATGTACATTTACCAGCTCACCTTTGGTGCAAATATGACTA